TTTCTTAGCATTGGTATTTCTCCAGTGGTGTATCAGCCAGTGGTTTAGCTGTTGTGGAGTGGAGGTCACGCTGATTAATGATAGTCACTAGATGTATGCTAATTTATTTGTTAGCCTTTGATTTATTGTGAAGTTTTTCTGGCTCGTTTATCAAATGCATTTGGCTACTAAACAAGAAAAATACTTCAGAAAATGTATCTGATTCATTTGCGTTGACATTTGAAGCCCATTAAAATCACGTTCTTAATGATTCTAGAGTGTAATTGTTCATGAGTATGTTCTTGATTAGTGAAACATACATGCTATGGTTTTATCATCAGTTGTGTTTATATGTATGTGTTACCTATATGAGGTCCTTCTGATTTCAAAAGGAATGAGTAGAGGCCAACTTTGATGTTTCTTCTGCTTTTCCTTAGTTTTATATTCAGACAGAAATTGTTAAAAAGGGCCATCCCTTTATCTTATCAGTAGCTAGAATAGGCTGCCGAACTTGGTAAGGTTGCTTGTCTATAGGGAGAAAATCTTGCTGTGGATTTTGAGTAAGAAGTTAAAGTGTGTGTGTGTGTGTGTGTGTGTGTGTGTGTACACTCACACACTCCACTTTGAATGTCAGTGTTATATTTTCATGCATACGCAGGCTTAATGGTTTGCCTGTCTGTATCATATCTCCTGGAATGACAGCTTAACAGTTTTCCCAGTTGGATTGTGTTAAAATCTTTAAAGGCTGCATTCACAAAAACATATGTCTCATGTTTGGGCAGCCAAAGTCTATGTGATCATTTTACCGGAGTATAACTTAGCAGCACTGTTATATCACAGATATCTTATTGTTAAAGCTACATTAAAATATCATCAGTTTGAAACCTACTGTTTCATAATTAAGTTGCTTTGGGATGTGCTCAAGCATAGACTTTTTTGCACTGTCTTAAAGATCGATGTTGCTAAGAAAGCAACAGCATAAATGGATCAGAAGAGGACATGCATGATATAGTTAAACAATTTATTTTAATAGACTTTTAAATCTAATTAATTTTCTTGAGTGTCTGCCCTGTTCAGAGCATTGTGCTAGACATCCTGCATAGATAACTTTAATTTATGGCCGTTAATAAAGACGTGGGTAGAAAATGGAAGATGGGGAAAAGTCATGGAGTAACCCAACAGGAAACAAGTTATCTTCAAGGTTTCACCACAACAAGGATGTCATGATATGTCTGTTTGGCAACGGCTCGTGTTCGGTGTTGGGATTTTGATGGCTTTTCTTGTGACGGGAGGCTTTTGATACTCTGATGGTGGAGGCAGAGACAAACTGAAATGGTAAGAAAACTCCAAGCTTTTCAGGACTGTTTTTTAAGGTTTTGGGGGGTTTTTTTTTGACAGATTTTCTAAAGCCCTTACAGGGAACAAAGTCTTTCTGTTTGGTGGTAGAGGTTACAGAGGATGGTTATTCACGGTCCTGATCTCAAATTGGCTTCGCCATCTATGGTGCCACCCTCCACCTCTCACTCACTGGTGCTCCATCTGCCAGAGGCCAAAATCCAGGAGCAGTTCTCAGTGGTAAAAAGTTGGAGAAGCAGATGCTGGAAAATCCAGCCTTACGTGATCTTTCCTGGCTTTGATAGGTTCAGCTTTCATATTGAAAAGTTGTTTAAACGCTTAATTTTGTTCAAGTGAAGAAATGCATTTATTTCAGAAACAAACTAAAATAATTATTTTCTTCCAAAGAAAATAAATTTTAGGGTATTATTAATATTTAAATCTATGGTTGTTTATTTTTTAAAAGTTAATGGCTGGCTCCATAGAAAAAGACTGTATTAACTTTTACTGTCTAAGTACATCAAAATGCTAAATTTGGTTAGGGACATTTCTTGGCAGTTCCTAGAAATATGAACACTAAAAGCCTATTAAGGTTGACAAAAATATGTAATTTAATGAGAATATCTAGTTGAACTGCAAAGAATAGAGTGACAACTGTATTCAGTTTTGTAAATTTGTAATGATTTCATTTTCATAATATTAACAGTATTAATAATTTCCAAAATAGGATAAAAAAAATCAATCCTCAGGAATATTAGTAAATTAAAATTGTGAATGACAAAAAACATGTACCAAGTTGTATTTCTGTTATGCCTCACAAAATGATTGAATTGTATTCAGACATACAATAAATGCTAGTTTTTTGAAAATGTGACTGAAAATATCGTGTCACTTTTAAAATGTTGGCATTTTCAGAATTTTGACACAACTTTATACATCTTTACATGCTCCGATATCAGAGATGATTTTTCAGAAGCAAAAAAGGAAACTTTAGTGTCTTCCAATTTAAATGAAGTCACTGAATGTAAAACCCTCAGCTCGGAGCCTAGCACGTGGCAGTCCCAGTGGCAGTCGTGCTTCATGCTTGAGTTTGTTGCTCTGACCCCTTTCTTCTCGCTGCTGTTTTTTTTTTCTATCACCTGTTTGTAGACAAGCAGCAATTTCCACAGATTCCAAGTGTGAGTACTTTTCATTATGTCTACCCCATAGTTTTGATATTTTGGAATTCCTGGAATTGCTTCCATATCTGTGAGCACAACTCCTCAGCTGAGAACACACTTTTTTTAGTAATGCACATGCAGAGGTGTTGAAGACCCTCAAATTCTCTGATACCAATCTTCTGGTTTTCATTTTGTCTAGTCTCTGACAGCTCTGAGGGTGAAGTGAAGAACTGGATGTCATTCCAGCATGCGTAGATCACACGGAATGGGTCGGGTTTTTAGTGGTTTCTTTGCTGCTGGAGTCTGGGACCTCAGCATTTCCTTTTTTCTGAAGTTAGTCCTAAGCCTAACAAAGACCCCGTTATTGCGTTTTCGGAAAATACTGTGACTACAAAATATGTGCTTTTTATCTTCAGCATTAATTCAAGGACTTAATTTTTATTCATTTTAGGCTTACTGAGAATACTTTCAGCGATCCCAAAATACGTAAAGCAAAAAGTCAAAGTCCCTTCCCCACACTTCCTTTGCGATCATTCCTCAGGAGACATGAATTCCGATGGTTCAGAATTAATCTTTCCAGACTGTTGACACGTGTCAGTTCAACAGACATGTTGAAGGATGTGTTTCTCGGCGTCCCCACTGCTGTGGTGGTGGTTTTCACAAACATGAGGTTATGTTGTTCTGCATCTGGGTTGTTTGATCAGTTAACCTACCATGGGCATCTCTCCATGTCCCAAGTGCTTTTCAAGACCGCATCGTGCTTTCCTGTGCTGATGCGTGTTGGTCTGCTTGGCCGTTTCCCTGCTGGAAGATGTCCAGGTATCATCAGCTCAGACATCACGTTGCATGAACCCCACAGGTGGGAAGCTTTGGTCCTCAGTCATCTGTGCTTAGTTTTCCCACTCCACTCTCCAGACTATAGGAAGCAGCCTGCTTCAGTCTACCCTGGTTACTTGTTGGCTTTCAGGGTCACTGGATCCCTGAAAGGTTGTCATTTGGCCTGGGTTGGGCCTGTGCTCAGATGAAGGGGGCCAGGTTGGTTGTGTGGGGTTTTAGGGTAACAGCACTTTTAGGAAGTTTCTCCTTTCTACCTGCTAGAGATGTAAACTGCACCGACCTCTTGCGTGTATTTTGGCTGTCATCCGTACATATTTTTATGCTGGCAGAGTTCTGGGTCTCAGAGCTGGAAGAAGGGTATAATGGTCAATTTTTTGTCTTGGTTATCCTTAAAGTCAGGGCATCTAGAGAATACTTGGAAAATATATGTATTTTTTGTAATTGTGGAGTATTTTGTCTCTTCGTGTTTCTATCCGGGACTCTCAAAATTTAATTTGTGACTTTTACAGATGGTGTAATTAATCAGTCTTAAAAAGCTAGATACGAATATCCCAAGGTTAGCATTTCATTGGGGGGCGAGGTGGTATTCATTAAGAGGTTCATAAAATTTTATGTTCTTCAGTAACTATTTACTTAATGGATACAGTAACTTATTTTTGTCATGGCTTCTGGCCATATTTCGGGGGTTTAACAGACCTTCTGGCTGAAACTGCTGCATACTTGAACAACTCTAAACTATGATTGCCTAGAATGAATGCAATATGAAATATTCTTTGTTAATACGTATTTTTGCTGCGAAGATTGCATTTCATATTCATGAAATAGTGACAGATTTTAAGAAAGGTGATAATCAAATTGTTACCAATTCAGAGGCAAAATTACCACATTTTGTTAATACGGTAATTGTTCAACATATTTTCAGCAACAACTTGCTATTGATTTTAATAGTTTTTGCTTCTCAATACAGCTGGCATCCCGCTATGCTAGCATAGCTGTACTTTTTGATTTAATATTGTACCGAGCATGTGATGCCCTTTGTGGATGGCCACACCGAGCTACTGCCGAGAATACATCCTTACTGTTTGTGACATTTTCCATGTTAGAATGGAGTGTGGTCATTAACCAGATGTTCGTGCACATTAAAAGGAACGTTTAACCCTTTTACTTTCATCTTGATTTCTTACTTCTAGGTTTCCTCAAATATCTAGTAGCTTGACCGCCCCCCCTTTTTTTGCTATTACTTTCGCCTGCTATTTTGTGTGTGTTTTTTTCCTTTCCACAAAACAAAATTTCCTAAGACTACTATTATTATACGCAAACACATCCCAACGTGCACAGAAAGTACTTTCATTCTCAAGGTGACACGTAGGCAAAAGCTGAAACTAAGTCATGAAAACATTCAGGATCGTAAATCCTTTTATAACGCAAATAGAGTGAGGGGTGCACCTTTAAATTACATGCGTAGACCCGCAAACCTCGTTTTTCTTTTCTACTGGGATTCTGAGGCATGCTGAGAAGTGTTTAGCCGTGCAGACGCAAGAGGTGAGGCCCACCCGTGATCGTGCATCTGGCGTGACGTCGGATGCCCGAGTTTCGCGGGTGTGTTGGTGGCTGTTGTGACCGCGTGACAGTGCCCGTCGTGGGCCCGACACGCAGCCTCCGCTCACCCGTCTCCCTTGTCCCTTGCAGTCGGTGGCCAAGACCGGGCGGCTGCTGATCAGCCACGAGGCTCCCCTGACCGGCGGCTTCGCGTCGGAGATCAGCTCCACCGTGCAGGTGAGTCAGGCCAGGAGCGCCCCGCCCGGCACGTGTGCCCACTCGCGCATGCGCGCCGACCCGGTGCGGGGGGAAGGGCGCGCCTTTCCCACGCCGGCCCCGCGGCCCGAGCTGTTGATGCCGCGCGTCTTCCAGAAGAGAGGCCTTAGAGCGCTGAGTGGGAAAGGCCTTCCTGGGAAGGCGCCAGGTGGAGGCCGTGAGGCTCGGACTCGGATTTCGGGGACGTCTGCCCTGGGGGCCGCCAAGGGGCATCTTCCCAGCTGCAACCTGCGGGTTCTCCCTCCGTGTGATTGAAGATGGTTATGGGATTGCTTGACTGTGAAACCGAGCTTCGGTTTTTACCGCCTTCGGCTTCTCAAATCCCTCCCAAGTTAATAATTTAAATTCAATAAGGAATTTAAAAATAATTTTATTTAGTGTAATTGATACTGGCAGTGCTTTCGAAGTGGCTTAAAAACTTACTTTAAAAAAAATTCACTTAAGAGGCTACCTGTCAGAAAAAGATTCTGCAATCACTCCCTGGAAGAGTTTAAAATTTTTATTAACATTTTTGTTATAGATGTGCATAAGATAATTTAGTTTTATAATTTATAAATGAAATATTATAATATTTACAAAGTAGGAGTAAGTTATATTCATAGATTATTATTTGTACATTAGATAATTATTTTTAATGTAAAGCATATTTATTTAAATTTAGAATCTTTTACAGTTGGCAAACGTCTTCTCTTTACTGGTGTTAAGACTCTTTAATTACTAAGATACACATGAGTGGAGAATTTATTTTAGAGTATATGGCTTTCTAATTTAATTTAAAATTATGATGTGTGAGTAAGGATACATTTTTATTTTTAAACTTTTAGTCATTTAGATTTCTACCAATAAAATATGTTTAAGTGCTAATTAGCAAATTACAAATAGCTTCAAATGAGATGAAGTAAATTTGAACATAAATGTTTTAAAAACTGGGTCATAATATTTTATAATTGCATTCAGTCAAAGATAAAATTATTTTTACATTGTATATAGTCACAGGTAAAATTAAGAAAAGCAAGTATTTGTAGATTTGTTATTTTCCTAGTTATTATATAAATTAAAATTTAAAACATCATAAATATGACTTCTCGGTATTTATGGCACATTTTATTCACCAAGTAGCGTGATGTACTAAATTTGTAAAAAATGAGGTTTCACGATTGAATCACTGTAATGCCAAGATGTTATTTCAAGCCAGAGGCAAACTGGAAAAGATACTGGATTTTCTGACTTCTAATTATATGTATGTAGTTCAACCATGTGAAATGATAGTTAGTGACCATTACTTATAAAAACTTTGACAGCCCTGTTTAATTTTGCCTACTGACTGCTTATTGTTATCTCAAAAGCTTTCTTTGCATATAATTTCAAAAGGAAAACAAGTAGAACGTAGTTGCATTATATATCATGACATCTTTTGTGAAGTTTGCTTTCTCTAAGTGTGCTTTTAAAATTTGATCTCCATAAATTATTGATAGACTGCAATACAATAGAACATTTTTTGAACTGAAAAGAAGATAGATAATCTAATCTAGTGTCCCTTGGTCTTGAATAGCATGTGGACTCATGTTAATGAAAAATGTTTCTCAGGCCCTAAGAATACATAGTGAATTCCAATTTTAGAAACACTATATTAAGGATTAAACATAGTCTCTGTAACTAGCTAACATCAATACTCATAAACATATTTTCAAAATCAGATCTGAAATTATATGATAAGAATCAGTGGTAAAAATGATCAATGAAATTATCAGAATATAGGCATATTTATATTGTATATCAGAATATAGGCATATTTATATTGTATATTGCAAGATATCTTGTAACATTCTCAGGCTTCCAAGAATATGATCATACATCTCAAGTGTCCACAGTCTATAGTTTGAGAAATATTGACCTAAGCCAACCGTATTCCTTTTATAGATGAATGTTTGTCACCAGAGTTCTTGTGACTTACCCAGTTTATGAAGACAGTAGACTATCTAGGACTAGTCTTGAATAAATGCTAAGTGTGTACATATGCATTTTTTATTGAAATTTCCCTAGTCTCCAAGAGGAAGATAGACATTTTGGTTTCCTTATAACCTGTTTTCTGTTTGTCACAGTAAAATTATTCAACCAGCCTACCACAAAATTAATGAAGATGATACCATAATATGTGTAGGGGTAATCTGAATTTTGCTTTATTAGTATGAGCATGAATTTGAAAATGTACCCAGGTGCTTTGCTTATTTCAGATTTTATTTGCACAAATAGAAAGTGCAGAAAAGGAATTTTAAGAAGATTTAATAAGCACAACAGTCTCAAGTGTTTGCCTTTTGTGACTTTTATCTATTGGTAAGGAAGGTTTAAAAAAAGAAAACTTGTTCCCTGTGTGTTTTTCTTTTTCAGTAGTGGTTGCATATAATTTTGAGTAGTCTGAGTGATAAAATCTACATCCAGTGACTCTTGTGCACACATTCAGCTAAATGCAATGCATTGTAGTGAGCATCTCTAGGGAAGGCCTTGTTACATATTGTTAAAGGAGACCTGTGTCAGATTATGAGTGCCTTGAGCTGTTTAAACTGAAATCACCTAAGCATGAAGTGCGGTTGCTTTCACCACTCAGAATGATTTATATTTCTGTATTTTTGTTTTCTGTATTTTGTAAGGTTAAAAATCAGGGTTAAGATATTGAAAGCCAACTTTCTGGAACAGCAGGAAAAATATACATGGATAACTTTTCATGGTCGTCTTGGAAAGAAGTTGGAAGTCACGAATGAGAACAATATAAATTTGAGGACTTCTGATTAAAATATTGAGTTGCTGTTGTTTCAATGAATGCAAATTTTATGTTAAAATACATAAAAAAACCATTTGCTTCACAGGCACTATTTTGTTTGTAGTTAAGCCTACAAAATTGCTTCTAAGGTAATATCATAAGAGAATGATATTAATAATAAAATTGTTTTTAAATACATTAAAATCTGAGAGTACCCGAGTCTGAAATATTGTTTTTGTCAAATTTTAAGTTATCACCCATATTAAAAATAAAAAAACTGATGAGAATACAATGCTATAGAGAATATTCTTTTAAGTATATAATTGGTATTTTTAGATAGAAAAATTAGGTGCTATATAAAACTAAAGGAACTTTTTTTTAATAAGAGTTATTGGTGCTACTCTAAAGGGTTTTCTTAGTATAAGATAAAATATGAAGACTGAATAAGATGTAGTCACAATTGATTTACAGAATTCTTTAGTTTATGGTAGATTGCTCTTCCATCTTACAAGGAAATCAGTGACCACGTCTTAAGTTTGTTTATGTCTCCCGCTTCTTTTTCATGAAACTATTTATTTTATTATTTTAAAAAATATTTTTGGCCGGGTGTTATGGCTCAAGCCTGTCATCTCAGCACTTTGGGAGGCCGTGGTGAGGGGATTGTCTGAGCCCACGGGTTCGAGAACAGCCTGGACAACTTGGTGAGACCTCATCTCTACAATAAATTAAAAAAAAAAAAATAGCTGGGTGTGGCAGCATGCAGTTGTCATTCCGGCTACTTGAAAGACCAAGGTGGAAGGATCCCTGGAGCCCAGCAAGTTGACGCTGGAGTGGCCGTGAGCTTGTCACTGCACTCTAGCCTGGGCAACGGAGTGAGACTCCAACTCAAAAATATATGTGTATATTATGTGTAAATATATATGTGTGTATATATATATATATATTTGACAGTCTTAGTTTGAAATAATGTTAAACTCAAAAAAGCAATTAGGAGACTACATTGATTAGACATAAGTTTTTAAAACATTTATTAGTAATTCATAAAGTTTATGTATGTAAATAAATGCTTATAAAATTTTTTTGAAAAAACAGTGCATCTAATCTAAGAAGTGTGCTGCATTTCTGTTGGAGTTAATGGAAATTAACGAGAGGCAGAACAAACTGAGTCTGGTGTGTTTGGCCCTGCTCTGGGGACGAGGTCTTGATCGGCCATCTAAGGCTTCATTGTCTGTTTCGATCTGGTTTTACATTTCCATCTGTTCTCATTTTGGGATGAGGGAGTTTCTTCCGCCTGTTCTTTCATTTGACATATACTGCAGCTTGAAGGGCTTCTTTTGGGGAGTCATGCAAGGACTCCAGAGTTTAGATAATTCATTGTCCTTGTTATTGTACAGTTTGAGCAAAGATTTCATGGTTTCAGAAAATTATAGGAATTAGTTTATGTGGTGCTTATATTCTTCAGCTTTATGTAATCACAGCTTTTCAAAAAAAAGTTTTAATGTGCAAAAAAATCTATTTTAATATTCCCCCCAATTAATGAATATTTTATGTTCTAGAATGCAGTGTTCGGCACAGGCGTTACGTATTTCTATATTGAGACCAAATACTTGGTGGGTTTTTTTTTTTGTTTTTTTTTTTTTAGTAGCTTTGGATAGCATGATATTTTAAAAAGCATTACAGAAAGCAACTTTTATTATTAATTTCCAACACATTCCCATAATGATGAAATAAGTCCTGAGTCTGATAGAATTTGTGTGATAATAATAATAATAAAATGGCTTTTTCCCCCTCTGGATTCAGTGCTTAATAAGTGTGCCAAAAATTTTAGGGATGTGGTTGGCTTAAAAGTTTGATTTTTTTTTTTAAACACATGGAAGCAATAAGTCTGCAATAAAGAGTCCAATTGGAGAGGATGGTAAGTTTCCATACCATTGTTACATCCTTTCTGTGCGGTCTCTTTTAGAGTAGAAACTCAGAAATTGTGCATATTGACATATATTTTTAAATATTATCAGATTCTAATCGTTTGAAAGGCTTTTTATAGGGCCTACATGAATCCCTGTGTAAAAGAAAAGTTTTATAACTCTCAAGTAAGGGAATTTTGCTTTTCTCAGTGTTTCATGTTAGAAAGGTTTATACAGAAGGATTTTTTAAATAAACATATTACTACTAAATTACAGCCACTCTGTTTAAAGACATCTAT